GGAAAAAATAAGTAAATAGATAAATGAACTTACAAAGTGAATTAATATAAAATGTAGAGGAAGTGTTCTTAGGATGTCTTTACAGTGGTGTGGTAATGTCACATCTATTACAATTTTCTTAAATACCTGTCCCTTAAAATATATATTTATAATTGAAAAGACTAAAACTAACAAAAACTGGAAGAAGCAAGCCCACTCTGGAAACTAACTGAAGCCAAACTGAATTCAAAGCTAAAACGCATTAAAAGATACAAAACTAATAACTCTAGGTCACAAGCAGGCTACATCAGTGACTGGTGTGTTCATATGTTTGGAGTGTAGAGAGAGTTTTTAATTTTCCCCTAAATATCTTCTGTTCCTCGAACATTAATGTAACTTTTGTTGTTGTTCCCCTGCCTGTGAGGAGCGTCCATAGAAAGAAGAGAAAAAGTCAGGTGATGGTTAGAGTCACATGAATCTGTAAGGTGGAGCTGTTACAGTCCACACGGCCTGTGTTTGTCTTTGCTGCTCTGAGTCAGTCTGCGTGTTGTAGGGCAGCGCAAAAAAGAAAGAAAGAAAAGAGCATGTTGTGTTTATTTTAGTCCATATCCCAGTGTCATGGTGACATCATTTAATATCGTGGTACCATAAACATTTCAGATCTTTGTTAGTTCCTCGTCACAAATGCTGCAAATGCTTCTGAATGTTGAAATCTCCAGGAATATTGTCATAGCTGAAACCACTGAGGCTTGCAGCTAGCCCGAGTGCTGATAATACAGCTGTCCTGTGACATGAGCAAACATTAACACAGTAAAATGAAGACAATGAAAAGCATACAGTGTTTCAGTGCTTCATGTGTGACTTCTCTGTTGTGTGTATTGATTTTGAACTTGGTTGCTATGCCTTTTTCTGTCCTACATCTACTGTTTTGAATGAGGGGGGGGGGGAAATACTGCCAAATGATTGAAGTCAGATTTTTTTTCCCTCTCTATTTTCATCCTCCTCCTCCACAAAAATATCATTCATTCTTTCTGCTCTCCTCTGCCTGTCATTTTATCCTCCTATCTCTGCCTCTCTGCTCCTGTTTGGGCAGTTATACAATAATGTTTGGTCAAGGAATCATCATCGGGGCGCCCCTCTAGCACGTGCCCCATGTACCGAAGGCTGCAGCGGCATGGGTTTGAGTACGCCCCAGGCCAATTTGCTGTGTTATATTCCCCATCTCTCACCCCCGCTTTACTTTTTTTTTTCCTCTATCACAAAATAAAATCTTTAGAATAAACATTACCATATTTGTTAAACTTAAAGCTTTGTGACTTTTCATCTCAGAATGTTTTTTCTTTGAAAGATAAAGTTGTGTAATAATCTAACTGTGGTGCTGTAAATTTATTTGACATAAACAGAAATATTAAATCTTGAAAAAAAAAAAAGAATGGTCTAACCATTTTGATAACTGCTAGGCTTTTTGCACCATGTTCCTAAATCTTGTTTTTCAGTAGAAACCTCACAGTATCCCTGTGTTGCCTGAGCCGTGTGTTTTGATTGAAGGCTGGAAATTGTCAGACTCCACAGCCTCTCGCTTACTTCCTCTCGGTTCTAACCTCTGTATGAACTCTCATAGATACTCTGTCCTACATGGCAACAGACATGTATGTGTAAAGGTCCACACATATACACATGCACACCTATTGTTGTTATGACCACGAACTGTTCTGAGTAACCATCCTGGAAGTTGTGGCAGACTGCTTCAGCTGCCAACTGGGTTAAAAGAAAGGGAGCATAGGTCCTTCTGTTGGAGACTGGGTGTATTAAATCAAATGTTTGTGTTTTGATATCAGTATTTTTTTTTTATTTTTTTGTGAATGTCTCTTGTTGTTTAGGCTTTGCTTTTTAAAGGTCCCATAATCTACCACTTTATTGTGGTAGATTATGGGACATTATTGTTAGCCTCATATTTTCCCACTATAGATATCTGAACTTTGAGGGTAGCTTTGAATTGAACTGGAATGGCTGCTGGCCCCGCCCCTAGGAAGAGGAATAAGTGACAAAGAAATAGCCAATTTAATTAGTGCAGCGCATTATACAGAGCTGAGACACTTTGGTTTATGTGTAAATACAGTTTCATTCTCAGAACAGGGTTAGATTTTTGCCAGACTGCATCGAGATCACGAAATCCGGATTTCAGCGGTGTAGAGCAGCGGCCTGGTAAATGGCTTGCCTCTGTTCGCTCTGTGGTCAAAATATTGGTGGAAATATTGACTCTGATGGCTGCATTAAAGTCAATATTTCACCTTGTTTTGTTGCCTGACACTAGGAAAAGAAAACTATGTGAGAAGAGATTTAATGTGATTTTTGGCTGTGTTAAAATGGAGCGTAGAGTAGAAGTGACACAAACAGATGTAATGGATTAACAGAAACGGAGCGAATTTAGCTGCACTGAAGCACATACACTGGTATGAACACAGAGTGACACACATGCACTCGGTATATAAAGAAAGCTATTTTCTCTTGCGCCCTTGTAACAAGTGGTTGATAGATATGAGAGTTATATGCTGGACGCCCTTCCTGATCAAACCACAAAGTTTCCACAGTTCATGAGGCATACATGGTATCAACCAAAGCTAACAATCATGCTAGCTTCATTAGCCCTGCTCGAATACAACAGGGTTGTCCTGGTGTATCTGATTTCTCTGTGCTGGTGTTGTTCCTGCATCATCATGTTGTTGTGATGTCATAAGTTTGGAATATGCTGGGAAAAGAAAAAAGCTCTCTCCTGGAACAGATGGTAACCATTTAAAGTATTTACTTTATTAATCAATTCAATATAACAGGTATATATTCAGGTTAACTTTGCTGTTAGTTAAATTTGGGTTATTTATGTTGTTGTTTTTAACAGTATTAGCTAACTTCTCAGGTAATGCTAACTGAATTCTGAGATAATGTAATTGGTTGGTTGCGGTGTTGATCCTGGACCAACACTGTTGTGATGATGTGGGAACAACTTCGCCACAGGGATATCAGATCATGCGAGTTGTCCTACGATTGTGGGGACATTGCCGTCTAAAGTAATTCACTTGAGTTTTCAGTTCCTCAGATGGCGGGAGAATCTAAACTTGTTTGGTTATTTGCAGGTTTTTCTGCTCATGGTTATTACCTCTGATGTTAGCAGTATACTAAGATTCTCCCTGGAAAACGTCAGCACAAGTTGTATTACAAGCTTGTAACACTCACATAGTATAAAACCGCATTGTCATGACTTTTATTTCAGTTTTATTTCATATCTTACT